CTATCTTATTTAGACAGACCTGTATTTTGTTCTTTTAGTTGTTGGTGGTTTTTTTTCTTCTCGTTTGCTTTTTATTTTTGTTTATTTTTCTTTATATTAAATCCTGAATAGGTAAATCTATAAATGCAGTGGATTAATACTTTCTTGGTATTATGGCAGGAGAAGTTGTGTAAAAATGGTGAGCTAATAAGAACAAGTATAAGAAAGAAGAAAATACTTTAAAATTGATTATGGTAATGATTACACAACTCTTTCAAATATGTTTGACTACATAAATGATACATAAATTATATGCCAGTAAAGATGTTTAAAAAACTGTTACAAATTTTAAAAAGAGAGATCTTTTACAGAGATTTGTCTACTGCACTAAGCTGTTTGAATCCCCGATTGCTGCTTTCGTGGGTACTGATCATGGATCCATGCAAAATAAAATCTTGAGCAACTGCAAAAATAAAATAAAATATCTTTGTCTAGGCTAATGAATCTTTGACAGAATTAACTGATTTAGAAACCAACTACCCTGTTTTGGAATAATTAAAGGGGGTACTGGACGTGCATTTGATGTTCAGGACAGTTTCTTAAACATTAACATCAGAGTTTTTAGCGTTGGTCAGTAATCAGACATCATCGGATGCTGAGTGTGCTTTGCTGGGCGAGGAGGCAGAAGGAAAATAGACTGGTTTTCTTGCCTTGCCTTGCCTTCCCTGTTGCTGGGAGGGGAAAGGTGAGGGAGAATGACAGGCAAGGACAGGAGAAGGGCTATGGAAGGAGTCCTGAAATAGCTTTGTCCTGCTTGGTACCTGGCAAAGCAACAGGATAGCCCTTTGGATGCCCTGAAGTGTTTATCCTTAGAGCAGGGTATGATGTCTGACTCCTGTTACCAATGCCTTTTGTAATTCAAGTGCTACTGCACTCAGAACTCCAGGCCCAGAATGAAGGTAAACTCCAGAATGAAATGATGCATCTGTGCACTAATAAGAATTGCAGAGCCACTAAGCTGCTGTTCCCAGCTGAGGCCCTGCTGGGAACTGGGGGAAAGTACTGTAGTGTCAGCTCTTGCCGCATTAGAAGGACATATAGAGGTGGTTAGCACGGGAAGCAGTGGAAATACTCTTGTATTGTAAGTTGCCCAGCCTTGAGTACTAGTCTAAGAAACATGAGGTTTTAGAGATGAAATTGTCTTTACAGAAGATCTAGCCCAATCTTCTCGTTTTACAGAGCAATAAAGGGCACCCAGGTTGGGGAGGAGAAACTGGGTCTTGTGTTTCCTGGAAAGGGTTGTTTTTAGTTCAAGTTTCAAAACGATTTGTACTTTAAAACACTAAACAAAACATATTTTCTGTTCTTCACAGATAACATTTGACAACAAGGCTCACAGTGGAAGAATTAAAATAAGTTTAGATAATGACATTGCTATCAGAGAATGCAAAGACTGGCATGTAGCTGGTTCAAGTAAGTGACCAACTTGACTTGTTTTCAGAATGATTATTAAATTACCACCCCTAGGATTTGTGTAGCTTCAAAGGGAATAATCAGGCCACTCTTCGTCCCTATTTCTTTGCAGGTAGATAAAGTCATTGTAGACAGCCGATATTCCAGGTAGTACACAATTTATTATGGAGACTTTTCCATGTGCCCTCACTTGCCTACTCTTTATCAAAAAGGTATTCACCATTCCCCACTGCTAATGTAATATTAATATCACAAGGGGGTAGTTTTAAAGGACAGAAATTTATTTTCTCAAAGTTTTAGAGGCAAAATGCCCAAATCAGTGTTTTAGCTTATAGAGTTCTTCTGTAAGCCTCAATCCTAGTATCTGGCATCTGCTCATAACATTGGGTTATCTTTGGTCTGTAGAGGATCTTCACATGTCACTAGGTTTAACAGCTACCCTACATTGCTACGACCTTACATGAATGATCGATTGCCTTATATTAGATTGCATTATGCAAAATGAGGTCATTATCTTACATTACATGATGGAAAATTATTTGCTTTATGACCAACCTCACTGCCATTGAGTCAAAACTGAGTCATTACGACCCTAGGGCCGGGTAAAAATGCGCCTGTAGGCTTGAGATTGTGCCTGTTTCCAGGAGTAGAAAGCCCTGTCTCTCTTCCTGTTCTAAGACAGACCACCTGATTTTAATCACATGCTACTACTCGGTAACAGAAACCAGCTGATGTTTAGACAAACCACTGGGAACCATAGCCCAGCCAAGTTGACACATAAATTAACCTTCATCCTTATAAAAAAACAACAACAACCCAAACTCATATATTTAAACTGACATTTAAGGAATAAGGAAGAACAAAGAAGATTTGTTGCCTTCGAATTATGATGTTGGTGAAAAATATTCAATATATTATGCGCTTCCAGGAAAAAAAAAAAAAGCCTCAGAAGAAGTATAGCCAGAATGCTCCTACGAACTGAAGATACGGAGACTTCGTCTTCTGTGCTTTGGGCAGGTTATCAAGAAGGACGATGATAGTGGAGGGACAGCAAAAAGAAGACCCCGAACCAGAAGGATTGACACAGTGACGGCAGCACTGGGCTTAGACATGGCAACCATTGTGAAGATGGCAGTGTTGTGTTCTGTTATATATGCGAGGGGGTACCCCCCCAAAAAAAGGAAATTTTCCCCCCAAAGCTACGTATTTAAAATTTTTTTTTTAAACAACACAACCTTATCACCTTCAAAGTACTCTCCATTACACGCAATACATTTGTCAAATATGCGATTCCATTCTTGGAAATATTTTTCAAACGCATCAGTTTGGATGGCTGACAGCACCTCCCTCATTGTTTTCTTCACCTCTTCTACATCGTCAAATCGCTGTCCTTCCACCTCTCAGTTCATTTGTGGAAACAGAAAGAAGTCACACAGAGCAAGGTCAGGTGAGTAAGGTGCATGGGGCAAGAGAGGCATGCTATTTTTTGCCAAAAACTGGTGTACTGAGATGGCTGCATAAGCAGGTATATTCTCATGGTGGCAAAACCAGTCCCCACATTTGCCACAAATCAGGCCCTTTTTGTTCCATACGGTTACACTATCTTTCCTGAACCTCTAAATAGAAAGCTTGATTAACAGTCTGACCTGGTGAAATGAACTCCAAATGCACTACAAGTCCACATTTTTGCTCATTCGGGAAGTTGACGGATGTCCAGAATGAGGTTTGTCATCAATTGACATTTCACCATGTATTTAAAAAAAGAAAACCACTTGTACGCTTGAGGTTTCATTTCCTTGAAAGCTGTCCTTGTAAGCTGTGTTAAACATCCCAACAGTTTCTGTGGCATTTTTCCTGAGCAGAGTACACAATTTCACAGTCACACGGTGTTCTCTAAAATTGGCCATCACAAAAAAGGGTTTGAGCAAAAAACTGCTTTTAGGAAAAATGTCACTGTGACAGAGAGTAACTTCCCAGGTGAGGCCACTGGTGCACTAACTCAGAACCAGTTCCTGATGTTCACCTAGAGGGAAAAAATGCATACTGGAAGAGCTCTGCTCTGCCTAGTGCAATTCTGGGTTTTTTGATACCCCCTTGTAGGGTTGCTCTAGTGGTTGCAAGTTGGGCTTCTAACTACAAGGTAAGCATTTAGCCAGGTCACCAGCAATTCCTCAGGAGAAAGATGAGTCTTTCTACTCCCATAGGAGTTAGTCCCAGAAACCCACAGTGACAGTTCTACCCTGTCTCACAGGGTGGCTGTGAGTCGAGCTGACTCCATGGCAGTCAATGACCGTGAGGTGAGTTGGGACCCATTACAACTCCACATATTGTTGAATACATGCAGCATAAATACTTCACCTACAGCAGTGGTTCCCAACCTTCCTCATGCCGCGACCCTTGAAGACAGTTCCTCATGTG